GAACGAGAGGTTGTGGGTGTGTCCACAACATGCCATGTCGTTATACATATTGTGTGTGCAGTCCCACGAGACCCCCAAGGGCTTGAGATTTTATGATGCCCGACAGGGCCTGACTAATAGTGACATGAATCCTTTCACTCCCACCCGCCTAATTTCAAGGTCCTCCGAGAACATACCCTCACCGATCATATGCAGCCTGCCCGTGTCTCACCCTTTCATAGCAGGACACAATGTCAGGGGCTGTTTCAATCAGCCCTTGCCTTGTAACCAGCAATACTCGCTGAGATCTTGGTGGGCAAACCCAACCCTGTATTGCCTCATAGGTCTCCCCCTACTGCCCATCTTAAAAACATATTCGGCCACAATTCTATCGACATTGTACCGGCCATCCGTATCAGGCGGAATCATCAATGTACATGAAGGGAAATCATGGTTAGTCACATAAACAGGCAGGTGGGATGGAATCTCTACAGTATATGATGGCCCATCTGTGTCACCCTTGGCGTCTAAAATCTGCCATGGTCCTCTATATGCAGGCAGTAGACTTGTAGTTTCTGCGATATTCCTTCCTCAGGCACAAACTCTTTAGACTTCACCTAAACAAGACCACCTATTGCGAACTGTGCAGGGCGCTGGTGCTTGTTAGCTTGTTCAATCATCAGGAATTGTGCCTTTCGGATACAATCAGACTCGTCTTCTTTCTTACTCAGCATGCATGAAACAGATGGCAATCACACTGGCGACAAGCGCCCACACAAAACACAGATATATCGTGGCCAAGAACACAGTTTCAGATTCAACTTGCTTCGAATGGCTATGGCGCCTGTGCGCCCTCACAACACCCTTCCACGCTGTATCCTCAGCAGCAGTTCACACGCATGTTACTCTGGATCTCCCTGGATGTCCCACACACGCTCAGAACTCACTGCACACTCAAAAACAAACACGCTGTAGCCTATCTCTAACCTACCGCAGCTATGGCTGCTTGCTACCTCTACCACTAACTAGTGGCTATGGCCGCTTCGTCTCCCTCGCAGCCCTCATCTCCTCCGGGCACTTGCAGACCTCCTTGCACAAGTCTCTCAGGCAGCACTTCCACACGGCTCACAGTCTGAATGAATGAATAACTGGACACTGCCTCTTGATTTATACTTCAGTTGGTCACTACTTTCCATCGAGCCTAGGATGCACACAGTCCCACATGGTATTTTTTGACTGGACAAAGTGCGACTGGGACTGGGTCCAGCTGACTGGACCAGGTAAGTCTGCCCACTTGGCCACTTGCCCACTTGCCTATGGACTGCTTCTGAGACTCTCGAAGGGGCAGTCCTAGAAGACTCTAGAGATTCTTACTTTGCCCTTTTGGTACTGTGGGAGCTACGACTAAGGTTGACCTTTCAGACCTACAACAGCTTCGACCAGACATAAGCTACGACTCCTACCCTACAGGTAAGCATCTCGAACCTACTCAACCCTCGTGTGTACAACAGCCTTAGACAGACAACTTTAGGGGCAGGTCATGGGTTCAAGCCTAGATGGGGCAAACTATGTTGTACATGGGTTTGGGGCAGGTCTAGGGGTCGAGCCCTGGGATGTGCATCTGCTACCAGTAAGGTGAAAACCTTTTCACTCCCGCCGGCCTAAATTTAAGGTCCTTCGAGAATACTTCAGTCCAAGGTAGGACCTTTACCTTTCTTATCTCTCTCATAGGCACGGATTACATCAGGAGCAGTCTTTAGAAGCTCGGTTCGTTCTTGATAAGAAAATCTGACTCTGTACTGTTTCTGTGGACGACCTCTACTTCCTCTTTCTGAATACATCCTCACCAACTATGCGATCAATGCCGTACCTTCCATCCATATCCGGAGGGATCATGGACCTCCGCAATGGGAACTGCTGACTCGTACTACAAGGCAACAACTTTGACGCATGAAAAACTGGGTAGGTGTGGAGGTGTGCTGGAATCTCTATTGTGTAGGACGGTCCATCCTCTTTGCCCTTGACTTCTAGGATTGGCCACAGTCCTCTATAAGCAGGTAACAGTTTCTGCGAGGTGTTCTCCTCAGGAGCAAACTGTATAGACTTGACCTAGACTAGGTCGCCTACCTGAAACTGCGACGGCCGACTGTGCTTGTTGGCTTGCTCTATCATCTTAGGCTGGGCCTTCCTGAGGTTCTCTATTACGGTAGCAATCTCTTTCTCGTGCTGTAGTGCGAACTCCCTAATATGGGCGGTAGACCCAGACTAGGTCGCCTACGTGAAACTGCGACGGTCGACAATGCTTGTTGGCTTGCTTTATCATCTTATGTTGGGCCTTCCTGAGGTTCTCTATTACAGTAGCAATCTCTTTCCCGTACTGTAGTGCAAACTCCCTAGTACTGTCTTTGGATCTGATCCCGGTTCAGTCCCTCAAATGGCTTACGCGGTTTAAAGGACTTAAATAGTTCGTTGGGACTGCGACAGGTTGCTAAATGCACGTTGTTGTTATATGCATTGGCTACCTTGGGAAGCTTCTCATCTCAGGTCTAATATACTGAGAACTTGTTACATGATCTTGTTCATCTGTTCGGTCTGACCGTTGGTCTCTCGATGGCG